ACCCTCTCAAGTTCAGGTTCGTGTCACACTGGCTCAGGAAAGCTGCCGGGTTTGCAGTCACCCAAGTCCAGGCTGCCCACAGGGCTCTCTGGGTCCGAGGAGAATTCTGGGGGCAAGTCTGGTCTTCTAAGTCACCCACACCAGCCAGAAGGGCCTGCAAGGTGCTCCAGAGCCAGGAGCAGCACAGAACGCTTCCTGTGGGTAAGGTGGCATGTGGGGGGCTGGGGCGGGGGTTAAGGATGAGGTTCTGAAGCCAGGCGACCTGGGTCTGAATCCCAGCTCTGTTGCTGACTAGCTGTGTAACTCTGCTTAACTTCTGTAACCTCCCTACACGTCAACGTTCTCACCTAGGAGACGGGGGTAACGACAGAGCCGCTGTGAGGATGACATGGGTTAACAGACGTAAAGTGTGTCCTAAGTGTTTGTTACTACTATCATCGTACTGAATTCTTACAATCACCCTGCAAATTAGACAGAAAAGATTTTTCTCCAATCGTTCAGGAAATGGAGACTCAAAGAGTTAAAAATGAGTTGCCCCCAAATCACTCAGCTACGAGTTAGCAGTGCTGAAACTCACACCGTTTTCCAACTGCAAAAACGCTGATCTCTCCATTTGCCACAGGGTGACAGGTCTGGGCACAGTGAGGACAACAGCAGACACCACGAAGAGTGGGGGGCACGTGTCTCTGGAGGAGAGTGTGCTCCCAGCCCAGGTGCACCCTCTTCGTTATGGATGTGACGAGCCCAGTGGGGCAAGGGCCCTGGTCCCCTCTACTGACCCCCTGAGTGGGAGGAATGACAATAACCAACCCACCACGGTCACTGAGGAGGTGGCTATCTATTTGATAACAGCCACCTGCTAATCAGGTCTGTTCAGCACAGTGAACTCCAAGCACATGAACCAGAAATGCCTGCTGTCAAATCCGACTACATGTGAGACCAGAGGCAAGCATCTCTGTGCCTCAGTTTCCCTGCTGGTACAATGGGGAGACTAAAACCCACTCCTGGCATGTCTGGCGCAGCTCCATCGCCTCACCTGCCTGCGCTGCTCCCAGCGGGGCGCTCGGGTTCGTCCCAGGAACGGGCTCGCTGGGGAAGGGAGCCGGGGGCCCGGAGCTCTCCAGCAGAGGGAACAAAGAGCTGGAACACGCTCCGGCGGACGCCTGCCGGCTTCTGAACTCTACAGGGAAGATGCACACGTGAAAACCAACTCACTACTCCTCCCCTGCATGTGAGATGACTTCCTAGACCAGAGTGTGTCCTGCAGGAGAGCCAGAAACAGAGCTGACCACAATGGTGCCAACACCATCCTAGTCTGCCTTGGTGTAGCCAGGGGAGGAGGAGGTGCGACAACCTCCAGGCTTGGTGCCAAGGGCACAGGACCTCTCTGAGGGACAGCTCTGACTGCAGGGAGCAGGATCAATAATGACCACTTGGGAGAAAGAGAAAAACATGTGATACAGATAAGACCTCCAGCTGCCGCCCTTCAAGTCCTTGGGGAGAGCAGGGCATCACTGGAAGGCAAAGGAACAGCTGACACCTTCCTCCACCGCCTAAGTCACTCTCTGTTGGGAAGATTAACTCCCATGAGGTATCTAACCTGTGAGGTGCTTCTTCATTGCAAGTGACCAAGGTCTCTTATCTGGTCCCACAAGGGGAAGAAGCACTGCCTCCCCAGCACCTAGAAAATGTCAGGCATGTACATCGCAGGAGCTCAGGAAGTATTTATTGAGCAATGCAAGAAAAGGAGAGGGGAAGGAAAGGAGTGATGGGAGGGGACAGGGGAGGAACGCCCAGAGCCAGCCCCTCCTGAAGCGCCTTCCTCCTACTCACAGAAGCTGGCTGGGAGACTCCGGGTGACCAGAGTGAACTAATGCAGACAAGGGAGGGGACAACAGGCTGGCTCTCCTGGTCATCTTGCTGAGAACCCTTCTAGGACATGTCCCTCCACAGTTTGTTTGAGTGGGGGTATCTCAGTGAGTACCTGGGCCTAGAAAATCCAGCGCCTCCTCTCTGGCCTCATAGCTGACTGCAGTCACGAGGGTACAGGGAGACACAGAAGGGCGGTGCGTGCCCTTTCCTAAAGCCGGAGCCCACTCACCTCTTCTAGGACCAGCACCAGGAAGCTGGTCTTTCTGTTCATGGTTCACAACAGGCTTCAAGACGGGGAGTGGGGCCTATCTGAGCTGATCTTTCTCTAAGCCAAGGCTTCTCTGCTTTGGCACCACTGACACCGGACCGCCTAATTCTCCGGCAGGGCGGGGGTGGGGGGGCTGCCTGTGCACAGCAGTGTTTAGCTGCATCCCTGGCCTCCACCCACAAGGTGTCAGTAGCTCTCTCCCATCACGGTGATCAAAGGTGTCTCCAGAAACTACCAGATGTCCCCTGGGGGACAAAACCATCCCTGGTTGAGAACCTTGCCCCAAATACTGGCCACAAGAAGGCACAGCATGGTATGGCACTCGGAATGGTCCCATACAGTGGGCTGATCCTATAAACTAGACGCCAGTAGTGCAAAGGCAGGCTTTCATTTCACAGGGCTGACCTCCAGCCCACAGTCCTGCACCCCGGAGTCGTGCGGACAGGCCCCGGGCCCCTCTGAAGGAGCCCCCACCCGCTAGAGCCGAACTGCTTACCTGAGCCTTTCCAGCAAATGAGGGGCCCTGTGGTCAGAGCCCCCTGTGCATTGCGGATCAGGTAACACTTCAGGTGTTTCTGCTTCTTCGGCTGCGTGGTCACCCTCAGATTGATGTGGTTGGAGAACTCCGTGAAGTAACAGAAGCCTTTCTTGCCGCAGCCAACACAATTCCCAGAGAAACCTGGAGGAGGAAACAGCATGCATGCCCCCATCTCACCTCCACGCATTCATGTCCTGCACCACCAACCAGAGACGTCCACAGGGCAGAGGTCAGCTTATGCTGGCTCCGCGTCAAGATGGCCTTGACTCAGATAGGAGAAGGGCCAAGAGGACTCGGTCGTGGAGACAGGCCCGGTAAGCCTGGAAGGCTGCACTTGCCTAGGGGCATATGCGAAGGCCTCTGTGAAGAGCAAACCTTACAGGACAGGAACCGTCCCCTTCAGCTGTTTACACTGACCAACGGCCTGCACGGCTTTGCTCTGCCCGTTTCCTTCAGGGCTGGCTAGTCCCGGAATCTCAAAGCAGTTAGAACCTTGAGATTGGATCCTTTGGGAGACCTCTTCAGAGTCCAGAATCCCCTCCATGAGCTGCTGAAAAGCAATCAAGAGGTCTGCCAGGCACGGCCAGAATGGTGGCCAGTGACATCTGTGGGCCCAGCAGCCGCGGAGGGGAGACAAGCTACCGAGGGTGGTGCCTCGCTGTAAGTGTCCTGCTGTCTGAGGCCAGGGTGGGCCTTTCTGGGAGTGGACGGAGTTCAGCCAAGAGGCTCTGGGAAGGCCACCTGTGCAGCGGTGACGCCCAGACCACCTCCTGCGAACTATTAAAGTCCAGAAAACGTGTTTGGAAGACCTTTACAAACTGTAAAGTCTATTCAAGCTGGACTCACAGAGCTGCTGGTTAACACAAGAGAAAAGTGGTGACACAGAGTGACCGCGGGGAGGTGTGGATTGCGTCTGCGTGCAGAAGTTCATGTGCTCAGACTAGCACCTGGCACAGGAGAGACAGTATCCATCAGAGGGAGGAGGGAGGAAACAGGCAGCCATCTGAGCGAACACTCAGGACTTCTGCACACACTGCAAAATTTTTATGTTCTAATGTTGTCATATTCCTAACATTCTCTAATTTTGTACACTAATGTTTTTATTTACTCCTTTGTCTCCAACCTGGGAACCTTGAGATAAACAGCCCCACTGCTATCTAAGAGTGAGGCCCTGAGAAACCTCCCAAGGTCCCTGGAAGGGATTCTGACCCCGAGTGTTGAAAAGATGGATGAACGTGAAAGAGAACTGCAAGACCAGGGATGCTAAGAGCACTTCACCAAGGCCTGCGCTGCCGTCGCCTTCCAGGAGCAGCCAAACAGGTTACAGGCCTTTGTCCAGTGAGACACGTGTGGGTTCAAGCCCCGCCTTGCTGGTGAAGTGACTTCGGGCAGGTTAATCGACATCTCTCAGCTCTCAACTGTAAACAGGACAACAGCGAACATCTATTGCTCACCGACCACGTGCCAGGCCTGTGCCAGCACTTCACATTATAAACATTCTCATCTTAACCTCATGAAGCCCTACAAAGAATTCACAGTAGGTCCCCCAGTTTACAGATGAGCAAGTCAAGGCCGTGAGGAAGTAACTGGCCTGCGGCTGCAGGTAGGAGGTATCCTGAGTTGGGACTGAACCTGTCTGCTGTGCTCTCTCCTCACAAAGTCTGTCTTGTAGGAGCAGTGCCCAGTACATGTCTAGCACTCAACAGGTACTCAGTAAATGTCACTTCCCTTCCTCTCCCTCGGACAGGCAGGGCTGGATCAGAGGGCAGAGGGTAGCCAGGGTCAGGAGACTCAAGTCCAACCCTACACAGCCCCTCACGGTGCCATGAGATACGGGGGAAGTGGCTCGGTCTCTCCGGGTTCGGGTTTCCTAACTGTAAGAGGGAAGGTGAGGACTAAATGGGCGCTATGCATCCTTCCAGAACCAGATAGATGATTCTTTTTTGAGGCATCCACAGTGGCTTCCCTTGGATGTGGTGGGCAGCCTCTGAGTTCATGGCTTATGGCTGGGGGAGCCCAGGTTTACTGCTAGAGCCCCTCCCTTTGCAGAGGGTCCCCTCCAACCAGGATGGCTCTGGGTGCCTAAGCCTTCCTTCCTGAACCAGTCCAAGGAGGCCTCACTGCAGCCACTGCTCCAGGTACGAAGGGTCACGGACCAGTCATCCAGGCCCACCCGCCCTCTGTGCCTCCCTGCCCCTTCACCCGATGCCCAGGGAGGCCTGAGTCCAGGCTGCTGTCCCCAAGCAAGCGGTCACCTGGACCAAGCTGGCAACCCTTCATGAAGATGCAAATTTGACAACTATTTTTGAGTACACGGATGTTTTGAGCTCTCATTTAAAGAACACTTGCTGGGATGAAACCAGGTGCCCTGAGGAAGACCAATAAAAATATAGCCACTAATTGTCTGGAGGAAAGGACAAACACAAATCCTTAACTCCACAGGAGGCGGTGGTAAGCACCGACCAGAAGGACCAGCGGCCACACCAGCAGCTCCTCTCATTTGAGCAGCATCCCAGAGTCTGTGAGAAGCTTCATGCTCAGGCTTGCTTAAATCTCCAAACAGCAGTCCTACACCTAAATCCTTCTCTTCTTTCATAGAAGGGGAGCCTGCAGCTCCTTTCTGCTAAGCTGGGGCAGCGTGCATGGGAAGAACAGGTAAAGGGACAGGAGATGTTCAGGAAGACAGTTCCAGGAAGTCATCCTGAGGAGGCGGGACTTACACTGGACCTTGAAGATGAGGTTGGACCTTGAGTGGTGCCTCTGTGCTCCTTTCAAGGAAGGAGCTGTCACAGGCAGGCACATGCTAACCTGGCAAGCTGAACGGCCACCCTCCTGTTCCCTGAATATAAACAGGGACTTAGGAGGAAACCAAGATGTCTCTGGTTCATTGTAGCACGTTAAGTAAAACAAACAAACAAACAAACAAAAAACCCCAGAAACTGCCATTACATCTATGCTGTGAATATAAGCTGCAAACATCATTTTAAAGCCCCAACTGGATGGCAAATGGAAAAGAAAATGGGCAAAATAAAATAGCGTGCTCAATTTGGAGTGGTAGGCTTTGGGCCATTTTTTCCTTTTTCACTTTTTTTTGGATTTCTGTCTTTCCCATCTTGATCCTGTTTGTGGAAGTAAACGTAGCCTAATAACAAATCAGGAAAAACAAGTCTATAGCCCCCAGCTTTGATATTCCGGCCAAATTCCAACTCAAGTCTAGGAATGATCTACCTGGGTCTCTGGAGGTGGGGCTTCTGCTTGTGGTCTTCCCACGTGCGCGTGGGGAGAGTAACCCGGACGAGCCAGCAGGGAGTGAGAGGCACATGGGTGCAAATGCCCACGCTCAGCAGGGAAAATACAGGAGCAGCATCAGGATTCCAGACAGGACGGGGCGAGGGAGGCAGGACAAAAGACGAGGGAAGCTGATGGTACGACGGTGGGAGGTTTGAAACATAACTCTCAGGATGCTGTAATCATCTGGTCCCCTGCCTCGGCGTCTCCCTTTCAATAAACATCAATCATTCAGGCGACCTCCAAGAGATCTTTACAAACCACCTTATTGGAGTATTTCCAATGGCTCTTCAACATATAAACCATAAGAGAAAAATGAGGAAGGAAGGACGTGCAAATGAAGAGAGACAATAAGTAAGAGACTTCAGAACCATCTTAACCAAATGCCTTGGGAGGATCTTGCTTGGCTCTCGATTCAGAACACCAACTATGAGCATAATTACAAAACAAAATTTGAACACATTGGAGGATTTGATATTAAGAAATTAGTTTTAAATTTTTTAGATATGATAACAGTATTGGATTTTCAACAAAAAGCCCTTGTCGTTGAGAGATACATGCTGAACTGTTTACAGATGAAATGACATGATGTCTGGGATTTGCTTCAAAATAATTTGGAAGGTCAAGAAGAAAGAAGAGTTATAAGTGAAACAATGTTGGCCACGTGTTAGTAACTGTTAAAGATGAAAGATAGATACCCTGATACAATCCGACTCATCACTCTATGTCTGTAGTTTGAAACTGTTATCCTGGGTACCACAGCCTTTTCCAAATGGGACCCAACGACCCCTTCTCCTTGCAGCCCCTGCTGCAGCCTGGGCCCTGCGTCAAGTCCCAGCCACAGGGAGCTCTTGCCATTCCTCCAGTGCCAAGCTCCTTCATGTGCGAGACTCCTTCTGCCTCAGATGCCCTTCAACCCCCAGGGTATGAACACCAGGGCCAGACATCTGGGTTCAAATTCAGGACCTGCCACTTAGTCGCTGGGTGACCCTGAGCAAGTCAGTTAACCTCTCTGTGCCTGTTTCTTCATATATAAATGCTAGGTAACAACGTACCCACCTCCCTGGGTTATTTTAACTGCAACGGTTTCCAGCACGATAGGTGCTCAGTAACGTAGCTGCTGTTAGGCTCATTTGCTGCTGCTGCTCCTCTCCAAGGGGCAAAATTCCATTCATTTTCAGGGTCCAACTCCATCATCGTGTCCTCTGAGACAGTCTCCCATCACTGGGAGTCAGGACATCCTTCAGGGTCTTTGCAGCACCTGAAGCCCTCGGCTGGAGCCTGCTGCACAGGGACTAAGCTGAAACTCAGTTTCTGTGGTTGTGGATACAGACCTCCAAGCTGAGTCCTGGCTGGCCTGTGTCCTCCCAAAGGCACTGAGCTCCCAGGAAGGACCAGGTCCCACTTGGCTTTGGGGCCCCAGGCTGAACTTAGAGTCCACCTTCGGTTTGGAGTTATACGTTCCATAAGTGCTTAGTTATCTGCCTGCTGGATGAACAAAGGACTCATTCACTCCTATCTCAGAAACGAACATTCTAGCTGGACGTTTTCTTCTCCTGTGTCTTAGCTAACAGCCAATTTTGATGAATTACCATCAGAAAACTGAAACACACACCCGAGGTTTTAATCTTTCTGCTTTTTCAGACAAAAATCCCTCCACTGATTCAAAGTCACTAAAATGACACTCCCTTCATTATAAATTATGGGGGCGTTGGGGCCGAAAGCTGCCGCTTCCTCCAAGATACTCCACAGCCTCCATTTTATAAGGTCACTAAAATGCGCAGAGCCCTGGCCCCCATAGGGCGGCGGGGCCACTGTGCCCTGTACAGCCATCAGGGTTAATTGCAGGAAATCTAAACAGTGTTAAGTGTGCAGGCCGAGAGCATAAAGTTATTTTAAAAGAAGAAAGCATTGGTTATTACCAGCCGGCCCTTGTTATCCACCTCCGCTGGCTTTTTGGCAAGCAATTAACAAAGACCCCACTTCCTCTACGCTCCCCGCCTGAGGGGCTGAAGCTGTTCCGGGGCTGGTGGTGAATGAACTGAAAGATCCTTGTCTCCACATTTCAAGACACAGAGCCTTCTTGATTTATTACCCTCGCAATTCCTTTACAGTCACAAAGGGGAGGAATTCGGGCAAACCCCCGGCCACCGCCAGATCAAACACTAACCCACTCACCAGGCCGTCTTCCCAGCACACCCAGCACATTTCGTCCTGATAAGCCTTGATAAGCAAATTAAACGTGAGAGAGAATGACTCCCTGAGCTTTCCTGGTAGAGTGAATTTTCTGGATTTTTCTGGTTTTCAAATACTAGTTACAATCAGCCCATGGACCTGCCTTAAGAAAGAATTGGCCAAAACTCTTTCTCCCCCTGGTCATTGTCCCAGAGCCATATCCGCCCCTCTAGTCAGCATTCTCCTGCGTGTTTCAGAGTTTACACCATCGTGTTCCCCCGGCCCTCACGGCCGGAACCATTTCTCTTTCTTCTCTGGGTCAGTCCCCCTCTTCCCTTCACACAGAGCCTGAGACATAAAACGTCCTCAAAGATATCCACTAAAGTGCAGGTCCCTACCCAGCTTTGGGGGCCGTATCACGCATAAAAGTGAGGTTTAAATGTTTGTACACATGGAAAGTACAGAAGAAATAAGGTGGGAGAGGGATGGTTCAACCTAGTTTTTCTCATAAACTCTCATAATCCAACTTGCTTCTGCCATGAAGATTATTCCTGAGGCTACGTCTGAAGTAGACGGGTCATTACCCACCCTTCTGCTAGCCCAGCTCTCTGAGAAGGCGACACCAGGCCAGGTGAGGGGCCACACGGAAAGCACCTGCCCACTCTGCAGATGAGGACACTGTGGCCTGGGGTCAGACACGGGACGGGAGCCAGCTCTCCGGGCTCTCAGCCCAAACTTCACATCTCCCGTGATTTTGCTCCACAAATGGGGCGCACACCGAGCACAGGGCCAGGGGCGGAGTAAAAGCTCGATAACCGTCTGAACAAACGGGAGCCAGGCTTGGGAAGGCTTGGCCTAGACTCTGCGCAGAAGCTGGGGCCTCCGCGTGGGCCAGCGGTGCTTCGGAAGATCAAGGCCATGGCTTCCCGACGCTGACCTTGACCAGACGCAGGACCGGGGGTGTGATGGTTCACAGGTACAGCCTAGAGCCAGGAAGACCTGAGTTTGAATCCTGGACCTGTTTTTTTAACACCTGCACCCCTGGGCACGTTCATTAGCAGGTCCAAGCCCACCCGTAAAGGCAGGATAAGAATGATCAGAGTGAGAAGGGAGAGGTGAAGTGAAGGAGAGAACGGTGGAGGGGCCTGGGCCATCACTCAGGACTTGACGGTCCCAGAAGCAGGGACACATGCTCAGACTTACTCTCCTCCTGCTTCGTGTCTGCTGGCCTCCGAGAGTGTCGAGGACAGGGTCTGGACCCTGTTCCTGACCCAGGTGGGGACTTAGGAAAGTGATGGCTACAGGTACAAAAAAATCAGTACTAACTGATGGGCTTTCTAAGGAAGGTAGTCACATTTTTAAAATTACTCTCATTTGTGTTCCATTCCACAAAAAAACGAATAAGCGGGGTTGTGTGACAGGCGGATGCAGAGCCCCAAAGGCGGCCTGGGCCCCAAGGCAACCAGTGGCCCTCTTGTCCCCGCCCCTCACAGGCCCAGAACTGTAGAGGAGAGCACAGGAAGGACTTACCGAGAAGCGCGTTGTGCCCACTGTCATCCGGCAAGAACCTCTTGTCGACGGCACACACCAGGAGGTGGCCGGGCAGGCTGGGGGACTTGGCCCCCACGAGGAGGAAGCCCGCAGGGACGTCGATGGGCTCGTTGGAGATGGAGACGAGACGCAGGTCCCTTCCTGCCTGGCAGAACCCTAGGAGGGACGCCCAGGGCTCACGTGCCGCCCGGCCAGCGGCCGCCCCAGGACCCGGCTCCCCTCAGGCGGAGGGTGAGAGTGTCCGGATCTCCCCCTTACCTCTGGACGTGGTTGAGTGAGAAGCAAATTATAAATTATTTAAGCCTTATCCTGAGAGGTAAAATGATCATAGCCATTGCCATTCAGAACCCTTCACCACGCGCTGTTTGTAGGCCTACCGGTGTCACCATAGAATATCCACTACCAGACACGCGGGGTAAAAATGTAGACAAATGATGGTGAATTAAAATGTATACAAGATAAACCATAGGAAATGGTGAGTAATCTGATGTCTTTTACACCCTGTATTTTACGTGTGCAAGGCACAGGCTCGTGTCACGAGTACGGACTGAGGACCTGGTAACACCGGTGGCCTTGGAAGAGACTCATTAGCATGGGGAAGCTTTCGCTCTGGACTCTCGCACTTTCTGTGTTTTAGGGATTTTAAATGTGTTTCTTATTTAAAAATTAAGTGTCCAACAAATGGACTTGTTCACACAACAAAAACAGACTCACAGGCATAGGAAACAAACTTGCGGTTACCAGGTTAAAAGAGGAAGGGTGGAGGGATACATCGGGAGTTCGAGATCTGCAGATACACACTACTACATATAAAACAGATCAATGACAAGGACCTACTGTGTAGCACAGGGAATCTTATCCACTATCTCGTAATAGCCTATAATGAAAAAGAATATGAAAAGGAACATACATACATGTATGACTGCGTCACTAAGCTGCACACCAGAAGTCAGCACAACATTGTAAACTGACTATACTGCAATTAAAAAAAATTAAGTGTCTGGGGAAAAGGGAGACGAGGGAAACAGCTCAGGTTTCCTTGGACGGGTCCTTTCCGGGGCCTGAAGGCCCACTCGGCCCGATCCGTCGTGCTTGCCCATCTTTAATTACCTACAGGGACGAGGAGGACAAACCCTGATGATCCCAGGGCCTTTCCTGCAAAACTCGTAGGCACTTTAGGAAGAATCTCCTCCCGTCTGCCTGCTTTACCATTCACAATGCACTGGCTCCGAGTTCTCCCATCTGCCCCCTGGGCCCAGGCAGGACAAGGGAACCCTGCAGGGCAGGAGGCCGTGCCCACTGCGTGCTGCGCTCGGTCGGATACAGCCAGCGAGGCTCTCATTTGATCACCCAGGGGGGAGTGTTCCTGCCCCCGATTTGAAGTCATGGAAATGGAGGCTTGGAGATAAGGTAGACCTGCCTTTTCAGCAGCAAAGGACCAACAGACTTGAACAGTTACTCCTGCTCATCAATTCTGAGTTAATACACAGTGCAAGCCCCACTGAGTTGGGATGTTCTAGTTTTCAAACAGTCAATGTAGGAAAATAAACTTTGGATCTGAATCCATTTGTAACACTGAGGGTGTCCAAAGAGGGACTGAGGACTGCAGGCCTGACAAAGCCCCACGCACGATGTAGCCAACGCTGCAGGGACCGATGGACATGCCTGGCCACGACCTGCTGGAGGTGTGGGCCCAGGTCACACCTCCAGGGCACAAGACGGGTGAGGGGTCCCCATGGAACACAGCCCAGCTGGCATCTCACCATCTGTGATGCAGCATCCTTCGGGCGGGGGGTGCATCTGGTAGAGAGTCGGGGGACAGTTCTGCTCCGATCCCCCTTCTCCCTCCTCTTCCTCTTCCTCATTGTCCACTCGGCTACCACCTGGCGGGGAGGGGCGCAATGAGAAAGGCAGAAGTAAGCAAGCAGCAAGTCTCGGCTAGTTAGTGATTAACCAGTCCTCACAAACACACTGTGAGCCGGGCATCATCACCCTTCTTTTCCCCCGGGATGAAAGCGGAGGCTCACTCCAGCTGGACATCTTTCCCAAGGTCACAGACTCCAGCTCCAAGCCTGGCCTTGGGACTTCAAATCCAGGTCCACTTCCCTTCCCATCCACCACCACTGCTCACATCCACACAAGCAGCAGGGTCCAGTCCTCATACAGTTGTTGACAAGAGCATCAAGTTTGTACACAATAGGCACTCCAAGAATATCTGTGGGAAGGTAACACAGTGTCGCATGTGGCCCATTTTACAGGTAAGGAAACTGAGGTTCAGAGAGACCCAGTGATTGGCGCACAGCCCTTCAACAATCCGCTAAGCAGCACAGCCAGCATGCTCCCAGTCATGTATGAATTCCGAGCTGCTGTTCTTGCCACTAACTGCATAACAGAACACAAAATACAGTGTGAGCTGTCTTTACACAGAAAAAGAGAGGGGTTCAACTCTACACCATGATTTTTCCCCAAGGGCAAAATGGATGGTATCCATTACTAGAAATACAAACACACCCGAATTTGTCACACTCAGAAAAAGGGCCATTCCAGAACAGGGCCAGGGGCCCTCCCATGTGACTTTATGACTTTCAGAAACTTTTTAAAGTGAAATAGTATTTTAGGAGTAATGAGAAATGTGGAATCGGCCAGGAGAGCCAGGAATTGACCATGGAAATCTCACTGCTCCATCTCAGCAGTGAAAGAGCTTGCCTTCCCCAAGGGCTCTCAGGCCCTCGAGAGCAGGGCCCCTGCGCCTCATCATCATATCTGTGATCGAGGCACCTGGCGGTACCACACCCAGAGATGGTGCTCGGAAAAATACCGCCCAACCTGTGCAAGCACACAGTTATACCTTATTCACCCAGTGCTGCTAGAGAAAGAGGGCCCCACAGCAATGAGTTTTCAAGGCTGTGGAGTACAGGGGAGTCCTTCCGACTTCTTTTAACACTTTGGGTAGAAATCTTTCTCAACGTGTCTATCTTTAGATGCCATTTAATAAACAGCATCTTCATGTAATAGGACCGCCCGGAGCATCCTTCACTGCGCTAGGCCAGGAGACAGTTGCTTCCTCCTGTTTTGTTTCTCTGTCTCCTTCTTTAGGGCTGGTCTCCTTGCTGCCATTTCTTCTACTCTCATCTTCCCGGACTCTCACACCCTCCATCCAACCAGTGGGTTAAGGGGTTTTAGGTTAATGATGAAATCCTGTGCAGCAGGAAGAGCTCAGCTCTGGGAACTCACATTTTAGTACTTGGGTCTGTTGTTGTCTGTGTGGCCATGGGAAAGCTACTCAACCTCTCTGTGCGTCAGATCCTGCATCTTTAAAATGAGGGGGCTATATAAAGTCACTTTGAGCTGTGACAGTCTATGTCGGGAGGCATGGCCCTCAGAGTTGCACAGAATATTCCCAAGGTGATTTAATCGGTACAGGGTACCAGGAACAGAACCTTGCTGTGGCCACCATTTTAAAAGTGCTGGTGGGCCAAGACAAAGAAGAAACTGAACACTTCAGGCCAGCCCAGGCCCATGACCTTGGGAAGGTCACAGCAGGAAGTGAGAAGAATTCCTAGTGTCGCCATCCCTCTGGGACTAGAGGACACAGAGGTGGCAGGGAGACTGTAAAAAGATTACCCAGGAAGAACACAAAGGGGGTTGAAGCGATGAACTCCAGAGCCTCCTTCAGGCGCTTCCTTCCTGCCCTTAACTGCAGGCGCCAGGTGGTTTTAGCAGAAGGTATGGAGTCACACCCAGACCCCAGGCGCAGGCTCAGGTCCCCACCGGGGCTCAAATTGTCCTTTAGCCCCTAGGGAGTGGGTGGCTTAGAAGGCTCGGAGGCTAAATCAAGATTAGTCTGTGAGCCAGGGACTGACCTTCAGGGGCTCGGAGGGGCTGGCAAAGCACAGAGAATTAGAATGAAAAGGGGAGAGAGAAAGCCCTGAGGGCTCACATGGGAATGTCAGCACATTATTCTGTTAAACCAAAGCGAACAGGAATTCAGACTCTCAGACTGAATGAAAGAGGAGGGTCTTAAGCCTCCAAAAGTCAAAGAAAGGGCTCGAAATCCAGTTGCTAAGAAAGCAGGATTAAAGGTCAAAGGTCTGCATCAGACATTCCAGGGCCTTTGATGGAATCAGTCAGCCAGCACCAAGCATGAGACTTTTCCTCTCAGACTAAACCAGCCTGTTTACCAAGGTCTCCTGGCAGGATGAGAGCGTTCATATGGCTTTAGAAAAAACCAACTGCATTGGAAGCTGAGGCCCTTAAAACTAAACCACAGGAATTGAGAGATTCACTCCACGGACTATGAGGGAACTTGTTTTAACATTTAGAGTGAATTTCGTTTTCTTTCCATGAGAAGAATGTATGATACTCTGGGTGGGATTACAGGAATTTATCTGCATCCTGTTTAATTAATAAATACTTATCTAGAAATGCTGGGGTTGTGTTTGCTTTGTTTGGTTGACCTCCCTTTAAAACAATAACATAACACGTACAAGGTTTTTCCCCTAGAAGGAGAGGGTAAAGCCCCTAACTCTGAGAACAAAGTAATAAGACCCCACTGAATCACCCTTGCAAATACGGGAAATGTTAACAGATCAAGGGATGTTCGGCATCCCAGCACCCTGGTCATAAAACTCATTCCTAATGTTATCGGCTGAGGAAGGACAGCAATAAGATAAGAGACCCTGACAGAGACACAGGCAGACAAAACAAGCCCTCTGCGCCCGGCTTTACGATGCCGAAACCAGGGCTCAAGTCGAGTGCTCGGCTGATGGTGACATTCAGCAAATCAACCAGTCTCCCCCTTTCCTCCTCCACCCTCCTCCCTGCACTAGAGACACAAAATTGCAGGGGATTTCTCTATTCTGTTTGCCAGACAAATGGGAAGATCATAGAGAGGGCCTGCCCTGGTTTTCATACCAACACAAGGGCTGAACAAGCCTCCGACAGCTGGCCAGGAGCCTTCCGCACTCATCACTGGAGGCACAGGCCGCGCCAGCCTCCAAGCCGTCCCTGGAAAGCTCCATGTGCCCTGCCGGCAGATGAGGGCATCGGCATTGGCATCCAGAGAAGTCAGAATGTTTGGATGCAGCCTCCGGTTTAGAGGCCAGGGAAGGTCGTCTACGTAGAGCTTAGACAGGAGGAAAAGCTGATTGGGAACCTCCCAGGGCTTTCTCCCCGCCTCTCCCCTAAGGAACATCCTTAAACTTCAAACCCATTTTCCATCTTCCCAAATCACAGGATTCAGTCACTCTGGCTGGTGCAGATAAAAGCCCTTCGTAGATTTTAAGGTGCCATTCAAAGGTACTAAATTACTTATCCTTATCACCACTGTTAGTTCATCATTAGCAAAAAGTCCTTCAATAGTGTACAAAGTTAGGGATGACCATTTAATACATATTTCACAGAAGTCTATCAGCGAGCCAAAAACACAGTCTATAAAATATCCCCCAGTTATTTCTCAAACTCCCCCGATGTCAGAGTAATTCTTCCTATGCCAGAAAACATTGGTACCTCCGATGTGAATACCAGAGAATTCCTGGTTTTCCTAATTTGTGCTTTTGACCACATCCTTGTTTCTCTCAGACCCAGATCCAGTTCTTTTAGGTCCTTAACTGTTGCTGCTTGCAAGGCTAACTTTGTAAGGACGTTTTAAAGATAGACACAAGGAATGCCTCCCCACTAGAATAAGGAACTGTCACATATCACACACGTACCTCTGTGCTTCATTTTCCTTGAAGTGCAGCCATCCCCAGCCCACCATCCCCACACCCACCCCACGCACAGACATTCACATCACAGCCACCCTGATACAGGACCTGACATGCGGTATGCTTTATTAATTAGCTAATTTTTATTTTAAACCACAGTCCTCTTTTCCTTCAAAACTTAAGTGAAGTCTGCAGGTAACTTCAAGTGAGAAACAAACTGACAAAAAGAACTTCCTTAGCAATGACTCTCATACTTTGGATTGCTGTGGATTACTTTTGACATGAAAATACATGACTGCAAAAAATACAAGCTCAAGATTGAAAAAACACAATCAGCTTTTTCTCTGGATAAGTAAGTAAACCCTAAAGTTATCCCCACACCTGAAGATATTTACTTCCAGCACATGTTAAATACATCAGGGTTTGCTCTTGGTTTTTAAAAGTTTCCAGAGGGCTCTTGTAATTTCTACCACAACAAAAAACTACCTGTACGACTTTGCAAAGATATGGCCACAAATCACAAAGAGAAAAAAATATAACTGAGGGTCAAAGGCATGTTAAAATGTCTTATTCATCCAGCAAGTGAGACCATCAAACCTTTTAATAAGAGTATAAGTGGGGGGAGGCTATAATTCAGTGGTAGAGCACGTGCTTAGCTAGCATGCATGAGGACCTGGGTTCCATCCTCAGTACCTCCATTAAAACAAATAGATTAAATAAAAACCTAATTACCTCCCCATGCCAAACAAAAACAAAAAACAAAACCAACAAGAGTATAAGTAACAACCAATTCAGAACAGTCTAACACAGCCCTCTTTCTTTCTCTGATTAATTCAGTGGATAATTTTATTCCTTGCAACTTTATGGCTGAAACTTATTTCAGTTTAAGCCAAGAAGGAATGCATGTGCAACTTTCTAAGAGTTCTGTCCTGCTAGACTCAATAGTTTCTACACGGAGCAGAAGAGGAAAGAGTTTCCATTGCTAACATTACCGCGCAGTCTTTTCGTTTAAAGGCTTCTCCTACCTTCCAGAGCAGAGAGCTGCTGCTCCGCTTCCAGGTACAACTGGGAGAAGACGGGCCTGGGCACCAGGCTGTTGGAGCGCAGGGAGGCCTCGATGGAGTTGTGCAAGACCTCTTCAAACCGCGTCGTCTTCAGCTGTCCAGCGTAAGAGTTCCCCATCTCCAGAAGAGAAGAAGGAGCCTTCTGTTTAAAACGACATTTCAGTTTCGGTTAAGAAGCGTGACCCGAGCACGAAGCCCCCAGGTAGAAAGTAGCCCTTCTGCCAGGAGGGGAGGGCCGTGTGTCCCCAGCTCAGCCCAGAGAAGGAGAGGGCGGCTCTCAGCTGCAGCTACTGCCGGGCAATTACAGGAAGTTATATAAGTAACAGCTTTCTCTAATTCAGCACTCAGAGTGGAGTCAGCACCTCTAAGGATGCTTCACTCAAAATTGGCCCTTCGTCATCCGCAGGTTTCACACACACACACCCCCGCCCCCAGCTTTTCCCTTCGAGGTGATCCTGCTTTTGAGACCCCAGACCAACGATGCTTTCTTTTCCTTGACCCGCAGAAGAACAGCCCTGAACCACTTTAAGTGTGTGACAAGGCAACGATCCGTGACAACCAGTCCCCAGACTTCAGGATACAGGACTCGGCCTCCCCTCACCTTCTCAGGAGGAAGGCTGGCAGATTTCCCAGCACCGCCTTTTCTGCTAAAAGGCCAATTATGAACCTTCCCCCGTTAAAGTCTGTTTTAGTTTATTCTGTTTCCTTTGTACAAGTAATGCAGAATTACTTCTGGAAATCTGGACATTGCAGAAGAGGGTGGAAAAACAGGAGGAGAATCACTATGTACACCACCCGAGATAACCACTGTGATTTTTTTTTTTTGGTGGTAGCTTAAGATTTAATTCACATACCATCCCATTCACCCACTTAAAGGGTACAATTCAATGATTTTTTTTAGCATATTCACACTGTGGTGCAACCATTGCACAGTTGATTTTAGAACATTTTCATCACCCGAAAAGGAACCTTGTATCCTTCAGCCATCAGCCCTCAAGACCCGAGTCTTCCAGCCGCTGCTAACTGACTTTATGTCCCTAGACACATAATGATGGAATCATACAGTATGTGCTCTTTTGTGACGGCTGCCTTCCGTCAGCATCACGTTTCCACGGTTCCTCTGTGCTGAGCACGTGTCAGTACTTCCCGTGATACTTTGATGTATTCTTTCCAGACTCTTCTGAACTTGGGGACAGAAGGGAGATGGGAGACTGCACCCACCTGGTTATAATCACTCTATGATACAATTTTTGATTCTGCTCTTTTCACTTGACAAAAACATTTGACCCAATCTTCTCCCAAATGCTGTCAGAACCATTTCAATGGCTGCATCACAATCTGTCGAGTGAAAATTCAGATACTTGCTCAGTTAAATCTCTATACTTAGTCCTTCCCAAGAACTGGCATTTAAATTTATATTCCTTCCTAATGTTTTCTGTTTATTTTCTATTTCATTTAGTTTTTTGTTTATATTTCACTCTTTCTATTTTCTTTTGGTTTAATTGGTTGTACTTTTATCAAACTTCTTAAGATGACGGCTTTATCATCTTTATTTTCCATTTATTGCTTTAGTAATAAAGATATTTAAGGCACACATTTCCTCTGGGTGCCTCCCGTGCTGTGGCACTTAGGTTTACTGTAATGTGTACTCCTTTTCATTTCTTTTTAGACAATTTATGATCTCCCTTTTGAGTCCCTTTTTGATCTAATAATTATCCAGGAAGGTATCTTTAATTTCTAAATAGTTAAAATTTGGGGGGAAAAGGGGTCAGCTCATATTACTTCTAATTTTTATGGATAGTTTTATTGGATAATCAAGACTGCAGCCTTGAAACACTCTCCTTTCAAAATTTGGTAAGTGTTCCTCTTTGACCTGATGGATTTTTACAAATATGCTATCATACGGGAAAAGAGATGAATAAACTGTCTTCCAGGGACGGAAGTAGATTATTCAATTCTTCTGTATCCTCAAGTATTTTGTGTCTCCTCCACTGCTGGTTTTCAAAGTAGCATCTGACTTAAAAAATAGCACAGGATGCCAACCCTGACCCGATCACAGGGCAGTAGCTTCCTGCTTCATTACTGTCTCACCAGCTGTGAGACTGACTTCACATGCCAGGCACCGCCTCACACATCACTTTGATTTCAGACGCACGTAAGAAAGTCCCCTCGTCCTTATCCTGGAGGTGGTGCGGCAATTTCAAGATGGGGCCACTGGTGCCCTACGGAACTCTGGTTTCCCTCCTGAAGGGAACACGGGCTGGTGTCGTTCCGCTGATTTTCTGCCTCTTTCGTAAGGAAGGCCCAGCCTTCCTCCCTCCAACTGGAAGTAAACGGAAAACATTGAACGCTTCCTGCTCGTGGCAGTAATTCCTGACCACAGGGCCCCCTGGGTCAGCCTTGGCTGCAGCCTGGGGAGATGAGCTCTTGGGTGGATTGCTCCAGGAATTAGCCCCAACAAAAAGAAAGAGCTCCTGAAAGGGAGAGGTCAGCGGCTGGAGCCACCTAACAGCCCCAGCCGGAGTCAGAAGAGGCTCCAGGACCCGCTCGGCTGCCTTTTTTCTTGACCCGCTGCCTACCTCAGTACGCAAAAGAGGGATTCCCGGCCACATCTGGGGACCCTTGCATGAGTTTCAGTCCAGGGTGGTCCATGTAAAGCTGCCGCCAATTAATAAACATCACAAATGCCTCCGATTTCTATAGATCTTTGAAGAGCTTAGCGCACTCAGAAAGAAGCTTGAAGCCCAGCTCCTTTCACTTGGGGCCCCTGAAGAATCATGACTTGATGACTGGATGGAAAAAAAAAATGCTTGCTCAGGGCACCCAGACCCTCCTTCCCAAGGTCCTGTTCAGCTCACCGGCAGCTGACTGGCACCCTGAGCCCACAGGACTCCACCAGTTAAGGCAGATCAATGCCTGAGGCCGACAGAGTGATAAAGAGGAAGAAAGAAAATGAACAGCTTCCAGCTCCCGTGTGCCAGGCACACTCCCTTGCTTAACACACTTAGCAGCCACGTAGGATATCATCATGAAGATGGAGAAGTCAAGTACTGGACAGGATAAGTAACCTGAAAGAACTCTTGTTGAAAGAATTGGGAGTTGTGGGGAGGAAGGGAGGGGGAGGGGAGGGAAAGAGAAAAGGAAGGAGGGCGGGAGAAACACAAAAGGGACAACGGCACAGAAGAGTGTTCACACTCAAAAAAAGGAAATGTGATTTTACAACCCTAAGCAAACATCCAAGCTTTAATAAGCAAATAGTGAGAGAGAAAACTACCTCCCTCTCGAACTAATGATGCATTTGAAATCATAAGGAAATGCTGGAAACTGAGGATGGGGCAACAGTGCTGAGAACCATGGGATAATGTTGTGGCCCTTTTTGTTAGTTCCGCTGGACCACAAGCCGGCAGTGTGGGAAATTCCAACCTGCACACGGCAGTGCTCCTTCCTGCAGACAAGACCACCCGCCTGCCAGGTGAGGAGGATTTGGGATCAGAGGGCAGAGCAGGCTGAGATCCAGGCCCGGCAGGGGCTCCTTGCCGTGTTAGGATCCCACAGCTGTCAGATGTGGATCTAAAGAATTGGAGAGAGGAGAGCCTAACTCAGGGTCAAACACAAAAGCCTGACCCTTCCAATGCCTAGTGGAGCCAAGGCAACATGTGTGACAGGCCTCCCAGCGCTGGGCTCTGACCACGCTGGCCCGGTGCACTGCCTCTCTGCTTGACTCCCGCTGCAGCTCCTCAAGTCTGCACGCTGAGGGGACTCTTTTCACTTCCTAACACCTCCTTCCCTTCTGCCTACAATAGTCAAACCACAGCCTTCACCTTCATGCACAAGAGCCTGGTGTCGTAGACAGGAGAGAGCATGTGTGACTCACGGGGCCTCGGCATTCTCATCTGTAAAATGGGCACTTTGAAGGCCAGACTGCTCATGATGGAAAGTAAGAGACAGAGTGTGTCAAGGTGCCTAGCATAGCACCTGGTGGTCAGTGTATGATCAATAATTTCTAGCTAAACCGGAACATTCATGTGAAAAGATAAGAATTTCAGATCATATATGACAAAAAAGTGCTATGTTCCCTAAATGTTACAACGTAAGGTAGGGGCAGGAGATGCTGGGGGAATTAGTAAGAACCTGGGGAGTCAAAAGAAGCTGGTACTCAAAGTGGGCTGAAAAGAAAGTACAGGATATTTTGGGCCAAAAATTGGGAATAGGATTTGAGAAAGAAATGAGAGGGTATAAAGGCATGACAGCTCCACGGATACACACGTGCTCTAGAGAAGAAAACAAGTTTGATGAGCAGTGAAGATGGAGTAAAATTGAAACTGAGGGTACAAATTAGTCACTGTTTAGTAGACAACAGCCCTGAAGCTTCAGAGCTAGGGATTTGTGGTGATAAAGGTGATGTTTTAAGCAGGCCAGTCAGACAGAAATGTTTGGAATAAAACTGGGGGAAAAACTTGGAGGCAAGAGGCCAGGTGGACAGTTTCAATTGGCCTGTTTCTAAGAGTGAAGCACAAAAAATTGCTTGGAAACCAGTCAGATGGCTAGTGAGCTTCAAAGAAGATAATCAGATGTGAGTCTGTTCCCACAAATCAACCTCAAATATAGCTCCATGTCAGCTCAAATTCCAGAATTAGTACTTTACTTCCACAGGCCCATCTAACCTTACAAATGCGTATGAACTTGACCAGACAAAGCTGACTGACCCCAGGTGAGCCTGCAGACCAAGGTGGGCTATCTCAGCATGCTTGTGATGGCTGAGACACCTAGCCCAAGCCATTCTCTTCCCTCGGCACCCATAAATCAAGCTGTTTCCTTTAGAGGACTTGTCAAGAAAGAGACGTAATCTCTAGGTCGATTTGAAGTTCAATGAGACTAAGTGCAGGACAGAAACTTTAAGGAAGATCAAGGAAAATTACCAGTGCGGACAAAGGAAGGAAAATAGGCTTCTGGGGAAACAGGACAGATGGAGTACACACAGTATCTCTGCTCCCTCCAAAACCACGCTAAGATGACAGGAATATATAGGTATAAACACACAAAGACATGGAGGGGAGAGAAACCAACAGCAGACAAGATATGCCAACAAAACTTAGAAGATGCAAAGCAGGAAGTGGTGATACACTTTGAAAGAGTAAGAAC